GACCCGAGCCAAAGGCAGACTCAACCCACCAAGCCACTCAGGTGACTCAGGAACCAATTTCTTATTTTTCTATAACAAATGGTGTCATAAAGAATCTAAACTTAAGAGGGCTGTTCACTGGCTTTTATTTGTCTTAATTGGGAGAATTGTTCAAAACAATCTTTAGAGAGGCAACAGTCAGGTTACCATGACACATTAGTGAGATGTGAAAGCAAACAAGAGGAAAAAATCATGTCAGTAGAGATGAGAAAAAGATAAACAACTGTCAGAAGGTGATGTTGAAACAATTTTCTGCTACGGGTCTGAGCGTGAAAGGCCACTTTCTAGTAATTATGTTTCTCTCTGAGTAAAACAGGAAAAGCAACTAGACATTAACAGAGAGTCATCAAACCACAGAATTTTGAGGTCATTAAATCACACCCAGGAGAAAAAAAAGATACTCAAAAGAGAGCTATACTATTTTGATTTTAAAGGAAAAAGACTGTTTGAAACTTAAATCATTTAAAACGTTTTTGTAGAATAGGCTTAAATTTGGAAAAAAATGTACTCATTTAAAATGTGACAATTTCAAGAATAAAAACTAAGATTAAATGCTATCCCACTGTGATATTTGTTATGAAGAATGGTATTAGAGTAAAAGAGGATTTCTTAAGATATTACATAACCTAGCTGACCAAAAAATACAAGGACAAGAAAAACAATCCAAATAATGAATTCCGTGGATAGCCAATTTAAAAGCCAACTTGAAGGGTGCATTAGAAGAAAGTGGAAAGATAATTTAGTTATAATAACATGTGAAAATGTGTATAAAACTGTCCATTAAATATTTGATTTGCTAGATTTTTATCCCACCCTTTTCTGATTGAGTTTGGAGAAGATTTGTAACAAAATACACATATATTAAGATATTTCAAAGTAAAGTATTAGGGAAAGTTCACAAAGCTATAATGTAAGGTAATTATTAGGGATCTAGAATAAGATAAGCAATGTATTAAAACTTTAATAGAGAGAGGTGCATGTATGTTACAGAATACATAACAGAATAATGCAGCAAATGAATAAGATAATGAAGGAGTAGATATTTGTCATCTCTGTTGAACAGATTTGCTCTATCAATGAGATATACATTTTCTAAAGAATGCAAGGAATGAATCCATTAGCATCAAATATAAGTGGTAAGGGAAAGTCACTAATAAACAAATGGACTATTTCTTATAAATAAATAACAGGAAAAGCAAAAAGGCAAAAAAGACCTATGCTTTCTTGCCCAGGAATTATGGACATTAGCATCCAAGAGAAATATTCATTTTATTATGGTAAGTTTTACTATTCGTGAATAGATTTGCTTGCAAGAAAGTTTTTAAAAAAATATACTTAATGTTGAGTAATGTGAAATTTTACTATCTCCAAAATAAGTGCTTTTTAAGTAAAAATATTGTAATGCTTAAAGAAAAATAGTTCTTTTAAAAGAAAAGGTAAGGGACGCCTGGGTGGCTCAGTGGGTTAAGCTGCTGCCTTCAGCTCAGGTCATGATCTCAGGGTCCTGGGATCGAGCCCCACATCAGGCTCTCTGCTTGACAGGGAGCCTGCTTCCCTCTCTCTCTCTGTCTCTGCCTGCCTCTCTGTCTACTTATGATCTCTCTCTGTCAAATAAATAAATAAAATCTTAAAAAAAAAATAAAAGAAAAGGTAAATATAGGAGAAAATGTTATTAATAATACATATTCTCTATTGAGTAAAATGACCATATTAACACAAATGAAAAAACATCTCCTATGATTGCTATTAAAAGGTGTAACAGAATTTTATATATATATATATATATATATATATATTTTTTTGGTAACAGAATTTTTAAGAATCTGTTGAGAGGAGTGGGGAATGGGATGTATCTAATTCACATAGAAACAATTGTAAGAATTTTCCTTTAGATAATTTTCAAATGAGATGAGATGGAAGGAGGAGCTAAGCTTCAATTTCCTCTTCTGACAAATTTCCATATAACTTGGAAGCTATTGAAGGAGCACCTCTAACCACTTTTTACATAGCACTCTACCACTGTGCATTGAAGAGATGCATATAATTTTAACTCTTTTCACTCTCCTACACAATGGTTTTCTAAAGCATCAGTGATAGTAGGACTCTGGATTTTTCTTAACTGTACCCAAAAAGAATCCAGCAGGAATGTGTATAGATAGATATTATTTGATACTGAAGACAATACTAGTAGAGAGTTAGAACGTTTGATACACATAACTATGCTACAGAAATGTAGCTTACCAAAAAAAAGAAAAAAAAGAAAGAAACTGAATTGACAGGTAGCAATTTGCTTTGCCTTTCCATGATTCTGCTCCATCTTTCCTTTCTCATCTAATATGAAACGTTAGTGGCTATGGATGTTAATTAAACTTCAAACAAAATATTTGAGAGTAGGATTTTGAGAACAATTAAACATACTGACCATGAGAGAAATTAAGACTTAATGGCCTGTCACAGGACAAATCACAAGGAGTACATAGAAAACAAAACAAAGAACAACAGAGCACAGGTAAGAAGTCTTTTCATAACATAAGAACATCTTACTATTTAAGCAATTGATACTTTTAAAAAATGTGTATTTTATGACTTGTGATTTCTAGGAAAAATAAGTAAATTGTGTTCCAAAAACAATTTAAGAAAATGTACACTTCATGATACAAGAGCTTTTAAAGATAAGATGATAAGACAGCACACTCAATTGAAGTAAGATGGATATGAAATAGATAGGAAAGAAAGGTGTCAGATAGGGTTATCAGATAAGGAAATTTAAAATACAAAAAATTTAAGTCTGCGTTGGAGATAATAAAGTCCATAAATAAAATGGCAATGATTGAATTTGCGGTGTAGAAAAAAAAAATCTCAGGTTAAGTGGAAAAGAAATAAAATTACTAGGGAGAAAAGGAATTTATGGGTATGGAACACACACAGAATCACCAACATGAACGCATACTAATGGGAAAGGGAACAATTTTTTAAAACTTCTCAATGCATAAAAACTTTCCTAAGTAAAAGAAAGACCTAGTTGAGTTTATTAAAATGAATCTCCAAGTATTAAGTTATAGAAAAGTAGACATCAGATTGTACCCTGGTAAGCATTTTCTTGATTTTCTTTGTTTTTTTTTTAAAGCACACATTTCAAAAAGCATACATTTTGAAATTTTTTAAAAGATTTTATTTATTTGACAGATTGAGAGAGAAAGAGAATACAAGCAGGGGGAGTGGCAGGCAGAGGGAGAGGGAGAAGCAGGCCCCCCACTGAGCAGGGAACCTGATGTGGGGCTGGATCCCAGGATCCTGGGATCATGACCTGAGTTGAAGGCAGACGTTTAACCAACTGAACCACCCAGGTGACCAACATTTTGAATTTCATGATGTATATTTCAGTTATTAAGCTGTCCTCACATTCTTTCACATTATCTCTTCTATACTGTACTTTTTGATGTTGGGGCTGCAATTCTGCAAACCATTTTTCTGATTTGCCACCTGGTTCCATTTTTGGCAGTAATGCATGCAAGAAAGTAATGAAAAGACTAGGGGCTAGGCCTCCCCTAGGGGAAGGGTCTTGCTCCTTTTTGTTTTTTTCATGTTCCTATGAGTATCACCCCATCCTTTCTTTTTGTATCCACTTGGCGGTTTTTAACACTTACAAAAATAAGCCTTATTGAAACCACTCAGTTGGCCTTGAGATCATCCCATTTGGCAGTTTTTCTTTGTCTGAGATACTGTTCCTATCAATCCTACATCATAAATGTATCAACTAAAGGAAATAACTCCCACCCCAAGTACGGAGGAACAAAAAGAATAGATTATAATAATTAAGATTTTGACGTTTGGAGGAGGAACTTATGTTGTTGAAGCCCATACATCTGCTACTGGGCCACTGTTTAGCAAGAGTTGGTGTCTGTGACATGAAAGAGGGACCCTTACACTGGAACCCTGAGGTCTCGGGAGAAGGGGCCAGTCTGCTGGTGCTGATGGTTCTGAGCGGTCTCAATAAAACTGCCAAAATGGATGGTTTCGATGCCAACTGCAAATTCAAAGGGACTGAGCAGGTAGAACTTGCCGTATTTGAGGCTGAAGCAAAGAGGAAAGAAAAAAGTAGAGTAGGTGGGGGCAAGATCCAATGGATCTCTTTTGGTGAAGATAGGCTCTCCATTTGGTTTGCAAAGAGAAGACCTTGAAGAGAAATGACCTTTGATCTGTATTTGTAAAACAATTGTTCTGACTGCTTTAGCAAGTGGATGGTAAGGGAAAGAGAAGTAGGGAAACCAGAGTGGAAACACTGGCAGTTGTTCAGGACCCATGTGTTACTAACTTTGTTTAGGGGAGGAGGTTCTCATGGGAGTTAGACGGAGTGTATTTTGTCATCCCTATAGGATATGAGGCAATGTCTATTTGTCATACTGGAATAGAGACAGAGATGGCATCTAGTGGAGAGAAGCCCAGAATTCTGCTGAACATCCTGCTGTGTACAGGACAGAGCCTCACCTCCAGTAAAGGATTATCTGGCTCCAAATTTCAACAGTATTTAAACGAAAAATTCTTGATTTAGGATGATAGGAATGAAAATGGTGGAAAGTGGACACACTAGTATAATCACACAAAAAATACATACTAGGCACCAAACATTTAGTAGCATTTTGAATGCTCCTCAGGTAATTTTACCATAAAGTATGTAAATATGCAGATCTCCAGTGGAAATAATTTTCATGAAATATATTCAATGTTGCTTTAACTGGCAATTAATGGGAAGTTTTGAATTCTCTTTTATTTGGTGAGGCAACCAGAAAAATACGCAGTCTTGATTTGTCAATTATCCATGATGACTGAATTAAAGAAAAAAATAGCAATCTTAAAATATTTAAAGACCTTTTCATTGAGTCAGCTTACTAAAAGTTATTTTAAAAACGATACTTACTCAAAGGATACTTACTCAGATAAAGGAAGAAAAATCTACTCACTTGCCATTCAATGCTGCCACACCAACTGTGCTTCGGGCAATGGACATACTGGCTACAAATGTCCATTGCTGACTCTGGGGGTCCCATCTCTCCACTGTATTCAGATAACTCCAGCCATCATGGCCTCCCACAGCATAAATAGGACCTTCAAGTACTGTTACACCTAAAACAGGAGAAATGGAAACTGAATGGACTGATTGTTTCTCAGTGAGATTTAAAAAATCAGATTAGTAGCAAAAACTGTGATGCAATTCAGAGTAAGCTCTAGCCATCACCCAATAGCAATGGGATAGAAACTATTTACTATTAATCATACCACTTGTTAAAGTGACAAAAATTCAGAACCAAAAATTAATATGATCTAGATGCTTTATAAAAGAAAGTGAATTTCCCTATTTATGTCTCTAAGAAGAGGCAAATTCTAAAAATCAGAGATGACACATATTGTGCCTCTACTTTTGAAGAGCATTTCTACACTCCAGCTTAAAGTAGTTTATTACTTTAAGCGATGTTACATTAAAGCAATGTAATATTATCAATTTGAAATTCAGGGTAGGATTTTCCGTGTTTTGGCTTCTTACTAACTTCGTGATAAAGTTAACTAAAGGTTATGATGCATTTCATATTATAAACTGAGATCACTAAACATAGGTAATTAAATTAATATCAAGTCATCAATAGAAGCAGATTACACACACACACACACACACACACTCTCATATATATTGCTTTTCCAGTATACCCATTTCTTTACAGATGAATTTTCTTAAATGCTAACATTTGCTAAATATTTAAATATCATGTTAATATTGGCTGAAATGATTTCATTATATAGAGAGAAATTCTGATAAAATTTCCTCCCAAGTTCAAAGTCTGATTGTCAAGGGCTTTGAAGAGTCTGCGATTTTACCTTACTTGCCAGCTGAAGAGTTAGACTGCCATAAATTTATGGATATTGGTAGAAAACATGAGACTCCAGGTCAGAAGGGAAAGGTAGTTCATTACTTGTACCACCTGCAATAGTATCAACTTTTTTTTTTTTCGCTTGCTCTTCAAGCCCTGGTTCCAATAGGGTGACCCAAAGAGGATGACCAAAAAGACCCTAACATTTCCCTCAGCTTGACCAAAATTTAGACAGGATTTTTCTTGCTTCTAGGGCCCTGACCTCATTTTCCTTAGAGCATTTATTTTAGAAAATGTGTAATTGCACATTATTTCTCTGTCCTTTCTAGATGGAAATCTTTTTAAAATGCCTCCTACTCATGTTACAACCCAGGACTTTTTTCTCAAGGACCTGGGGATTATTTCTTTGAAATGTAAGCATCAAGAAAGATATTGAGAGCCTAACTTCAGTTGATACCTTGCTTCAGGTTGTAAAACTTGTCATGAAGATAGAAAATTTGCCTTACCTTTGGATAAGGCCAATTAGCAAACACAGATTGCCTATGATCCCCTGTGCCTACCAGAGCTCTTAAAAAAACTCCCGTTTTGTTTTGGTGAGGTCGAGTTCAGCCTCAATTCTGTCCTCTCTTCCATGTTGCAATACCCTTGAATAAATTCTTCCTGGCTTGTTAAATTTGTCTAATGCATTTTTTGCCTTGACAAGGGTCAATTGGAACTTGAACATGCAGTGGATTGTATTATGAGAAAGGAAATAATTTTCAATGAGCAATAAACCTACATGCCTATTACTACAGAAGGAGACATTATCTTCACACGTTTAAGCATGTCTGCCTTTCACTTAGGAAAGAGGAACTCTCTCTATCATATTAATATCCTTTTGGGCAGTTGGTGCCTTGCTTGAAAGTTGTGCAAAAATGTTAGAGACCCATGGAGAATTGTCTTTCAACACAAACCTGAAAATAAATGACCCTGTGTTCATTCATCCATTTACTCATTCTTTTGAATGTCTGTCATGTGTCAGGAATTGTTCTTAGTACCACACAGGGCCAAGAACACAGAGGTTAACAAGGGAAACAAAGTCCATTCCTGTGCTGAGTTCATACGTACTGGTCAATGAATACTTAACTAAAATGGAATAAGTATATTATTCACAGTAAGCAAGTCCTTCACACATATTTTATAATTTAATATAGGATACTGTATTAGAATATCAAATTGCTCACATACATATATTTAACTTAGGGATGCTATTGTACACACACCAATAAATAGATATTCATGTGAAGTATAGGGTTCTGACTTAGTGATTGCCAAAATCGAAGGGCATAGACTTTGGATGTTGATCTTTCTCTAGACAGCTCAAAGTAAAAGATAGGGCTCAGAAAGGATGAATAAGTTGTAAATATTTGGAGGCAATTTCCAAAGGATATGGAAATATCTTATGGGCTTTTTGTAGACATATGTATAATCATTCACTTGTCTCAATAATAATTAATTATATCAAGATAAACTTTAAACATCAATAAAGTTTTTAAAGATATATCCATCAGAAAGGACCAGATCATTATAACAAATCTAGCGAATTTGGATTTTATTGTAAGGACAAAGGGAAATCACTGAAGTGTTTATCTGTGAGGTATATGATCACCATGAAATTTATTTTGGTAGTGTTGTAGCAAATGAATTGGAGTCAGTTTAGGTGGCACTAGAGAGATGATTAGGAGGAAATTGCAGTTATCCAAAAAGGAGAAGATGGTGGGTTTAACTAGTAGGTTAAGGAGTAAATACAGAGAAGTAGAAATATTTGAGATTTATTATGGCTCTGGATATTTGTTGCTAGAACATGCTAATGGATTGAATCTGAGTAAGTGAATAAAAAGGACAAGTCACAGATAGATAAATTGATTGAAAAATTTGAGAACTATATTTTGAAGATACCATGTTTGAGGGGACTATTAGACATCTAAGTGGAACATTTAAAAAGGCTGCTTAATATACATGTCAGAAGTTCAACTCAGTTCAAGTATACATGTCTAACTTTTGGACATACCAGCAATGACATGGCATTTAAATGCATAGAATCAGATAAGGTCAGTTAAGAAAATAGTATTAAGAGAGAAAGTAACAGAGACCAGAATCTATCCCTGAGTGGCTTCAATATCAATTAAAAGAAAAGAGGATGAAAGAGAGAAGAAATGACCAGACAGGTGGAAGGAAAGCCAGAAACTTTCAGTATCTGAAAACTAAGAGTGTAGAGTATTTATAGGGGGGATGGGGTAATCATCCACTTGCATATTTCTGACCAAATACAAATAAATTTCTATTGGACTTGGAAAGACGGAGTTTATTGTTCACTTTCAAAATAGGTTCTGGAGTATTACAAGTTGTAATATAATCTGATTACTACTTAATCAAATAGATAGCCTACAAAACTCATTGATCTATGATTTTTTTTTTTAACTATTTGATATTATTTGACTTTATAAACATGTTTCAGTCCTACAGTGTAACATATATAAATGCCACAGATTTATGAACTCTGGATGCCTTACAATGTAATTTGCATATTTTTTGCAGCTGTGATGAATAGTAGACCAGAATAATTTCAAAATTGGAGTGATACATTCAATTTCTTCCTTATGTTTGCCAAAAATATCTTACAGATTCAATAAAGCAAGGTTAATAGTGTAAAAATATTTTTCTGTGCTTTGTTCAGTAAAACTATTAAGCCTGCACTAAAAAAAATAGTAATTTAATTGAAATATTTTTTGAACGTCTCAAGCTTTGTAATTGCATGATTACTTCTGATAAAGGATTTCAAAATGTCTTCTTAATGCTTTATATTACCAAATTGTACTTTTTCAAAATGCGTAATTATTTACATATTTTAAACTATAGGTATTGCATATATTATTCCCCTTAAGACTTCTGCTATAAAATATTTATTAAAATTCTCCCATATAGGGTTACCTGGGTGGCTCAATCAGTTAAGCATCTAACTCTTGTTAGATGCTTTTTTTTTTGTCTCAGGTCATGATCAAGGGTCTAGGATACAGCCTGGTATTAGTCTGTGCTCAGTGCGAAGTCTCCTTGTCCTTCTCCTTCTACCCCTCCCCCCATTCATAATCACTCTCTCTCTCTCTAAAAATAAATAAATGAGTATTTTAAGAATAAAATAAAAGAAAAATTTAATTCTGCTCACATAATTTACCTCAAAATATTTATTTTACTACTTCCATATCAATACAACCAGACACTTAATTTGTTCTCCTGAAAAATAAATTATTACTCTTCTCTACACCTATTAATATCATCCATTTAAAATATTGTTAAATTTATCCGAAGCTCTAAACTTTTCCAAATTAAAGACACCACATTTTAATTAAAAATTGTGATAACATAAAGCCAGTTCTTAATATTGCTTTATTGTTGCATTTTTACCATTAATTACATAACTTGGAAAAGCATTCTCTTATAAAAAATGAGATTTCCTTTTGTCTATGTAGAGAATATTTATTTTAAGTGAATAATAATACATTTAAATTTCTTTTGGTGTAATAATTGTGTCAAATAAATTACTATAACATTACTAATTATTATTTATTTTAATCTTTTCTTTCTTTTTTTTTTTTTTAGATTTTATTTATTCATTTGACAGACAGAGATCACAAGTAGGCAGAGAGAGAGGAAGGGAAGCAGGCTCCCTGCTGAGCAGAGAGCTCTATGTGGGGCTCGATCCCAGGACCCTGGGATCATGACCTGAGCCGAAGGCAGAGGCCCAACCCACTGAGCCAGCCAGGCGCCCCTTAATCTTCTTTTCTAAACTGTTTTTAAAAATAACCATCAAGGATATAGTAGCACCGTAAATACTTATAACTAACGATTAAGGTGATTTAATTCTAGTATTATCAAATAGTTTTACTTCAGAAACAATGAATCCTTAAATAATAGTTCATTTAGGGATTTTTGTTCTGTGCAAAAAATTAAATGAAAACAACATACATAACTGGAAATGGAGAAATAGAGAAATAAAATTATAAATATTTTATATACATTACAAAGTTTTCTCAGTGATATTAAATATAAATGCATATACATATGTATGTATATGTGTGATATGTGTATGTGTGTATATATATAATCTTTGTGAGAATTTACCCAATATTATATATGCATATAATATAAAGTATATACAAATGCTTTCTTATATAATTATGATGTAAAATACTAACAGGCTAATATATGATTTTTTTTTTAAGA